TTATATTTATATATATATGTATATATATGTATGCATGTTAGACTTATGCTTTAAACAGGAGGGGTGTATGTGTGGTGATGTGCAGCCCTGAGGAGAGGGTGAGTTGATGCGTGGTAGGCGGTGTGTTGTCTCCTGTATATAATTTTGCAGCACGTTTTAATTTATATTAAATTTATTTTCCTTTGCCTTCATTATTTTGAGCTGCTGCTGCGGCCAGTGCATGCAAACAAAGCACCAAAGCCCGCAAGGATGCATGCAGGGGTTGTTCTTTCCTCCGCACCTTCAGCAGCAGCACACAGCAACAGCAGCAGCTGCGGCTGCGGCAGCAGCAGCAGCAGCAGCAGCAGCGACACGTGAATTCTATAGAATTTATCTTCTTCAGCTGCCACACGGCACTGGGGCGGCGCGTTGGCATCGAAAGCCGTTCTTCTTGAACTGCATTGCATAAGTAATAACACATTGTTTGAAATGTGTTCACTTATGCATTTTTCGCATCAAAAAAAACAAACAAATGAACAAATTACAACGGATGACGTTTTCTTTCACGCATAATACTCAACACAACTTGTATAGCTGCTGCTGCAGCGCACGACTTGCAGCACTATCTCTCTATACGTATATTGAACTACGCTACTGAAACATCAGCTGATGGGCCCTCGCAGAGCTACACGCAGCTGCTGTTGCTTCTGCTGTTGCTGCTGCAGTACACTGGCAGTAACACAGCCCAGAGCATTTATACTGAAAATTCATCAGAGCTGTATTTCTTAGTGGTCGCTGCTCACTAGTGAACAGACGCGTAAGCAGTGCAGCCAGCGATAGTGTGTCGGCAAAGAACACCTTATTATTAATAAATACTTTATTAAAATTGTAAACGCTAGAAAAACGGTCTTTTTGCAAAGAACCGCAATACTGCAATGGCGTGATAGTAGCTGGGGTATGGTCATATGTTTTCCTTCATGCACATACAGAGAGAAGCACTGTTGCTTCTTCTCCCTGTTCGATTGGAAGCGCTAAAAGATTGTTTGTGGTAACAATTTAATTGCAAAATTTTAGCTATTTCACTGGTTTCTTGAGGTGTATGTATACAGCGCAGGCGTTGCATGCGATCACCTCGTCGGTCGATCTGTGGTCCGCGGGCGAAAGAGGATTCAGTTTCGTCGAATTTTTGAGTAAATATGAGGAAAAAAATAAATTAAGTGAAATAAAATGCTTATTATTACCCAGACATTCAACTAAGTTGCTTAATCGGCCAGCTTTCTACCTAGGATGTGACCTCACTCCACTTGCATTTCACTATGAAGGAAGAAGGGCGGCTGCAACCTCGCAGCTCTTTAGATCCCGCAGGCCGCCTTCATTCAGACTCTAACACCAGCCAATTACATGCAGAGCCCCACTCTACCGCCTGTAGCACTTCAGGGGAGAGCGGGATCTCTGGCCGTAGTACTGCAGAGTTGAATGCTGCAAAGGGAGAATCATCAGAGGTTAATCGTGAAAAGGGAGCAGCTGCAGCAGCAGACAGCGCGAAATCGCATGCACTGAGTGCCAGATATGTCGCTTACCTCGGCTGTATAAAGGACAACTGGTCCTCTTGTCACGCAGCTAAACTTCTTGATGAGGATCTCATCAATTACCTTCGGCCTCGCTTCGTGTTGCTCTCCACTCCGCTGAAAGTTCGCGTGCTGACGTCCTTTCTCTACATTAAACCCGACCTCGTAAGCAGCAAACGCACAGGCAAACGGGGGTAATCGCATTTCTTTTCTCCCGATAAGAATAATATATACTGCAGCAATAATTTTTATGAACAACAGCAGCAATAGTAGTTGTTTCGTTAATAATATTAATAATCATTATTTTTTTATTTATATAATGGTAGTAGTACAATTTTTATTGCTATCATCAGCTATAGTTATCTGTGCATGAATTGTTGTTGGCTTGTATATACTACGGTTGTGTGTGTACGTATATGAAGCGGCTTTCTCTTGATTTCTTTTCTTAGTGTAGTTCGTTTCCTTATCTTTTTCATCAAACAATATTTGTTTTCTCTTTGTTTGTAAACAGTTCAATAAACAAACTTATTGATGCGTAGTCCGTGTCTGCAACAGCTGCTGCTGCAGCAGCTGCAGCTGTTGCTGCTGCTGCAGCAACTGCTGCAGCAATTGCTGATGTTGCTGTTATGAATGTGCTTGCTGAATAGGTGTACACGCAGAGTTGCTGTCTGGTTTGTGTTGTTATACACAGCGTGAAAGATGCAGCAGCCCGCTAAGCGAGATAACGAAAGAAGGAGAAACAGATCCAAATGAATGGGTCAAGAAACTCAGCCGCATCCTGGTTCGTGCAGAAATATACATACACATATATATATATATATATATATATATATATATATATATATATATATATATATATATATAT